ATATTTTTTAAATGAATGGGGCCCTCATCTCCACCCTCACAATTACCCTATGGGGTTGGTATGATTGTTGCCCTAAGGTACAGATGAGACACTGAGGCCCAGCAAAGTGAAATGACACCAGGGAGGTCACGTGATTCAGCACATGGTCTCTGAGGTCAGAATTTCTAGGTTCAAATCCTAGCTTCTCCATTTCATTGCTGCCTTTTACTTAATTTTTCTAGGCTGTAGGTTCCTCATTGTAAAATGAGGATATTAGTGGAAGCTCCCTTGAAGGGCTATTGTTAGAAATACATGAGATGACACATAAAGAATTCAGCCTAGCACATAGTAGGTGCTCAGGAAGCATCAGTTATTGCTGCCACCCAGGGTCTCCCAGGGAGACGAGCTCCAGAACTCCAGAGTATCCAGATTTGCTCCAAAGTCCATGTCTTCATCACTACCCTCTATTTCTTCCTCCTGTTCACAAATTTCATGAAGGCCCCTTTTCTGGACCCCAAGTTCTGCTTTTTGTGTGTATGTGTGACATCTGTGCAGGTTTTTGTCGGCAAGGAGTATGTTGCAACTGTTGGCCCAAGCTGGAGGCAAGAGGAGGAAAAAAGGAGCCTGCCCTTCTCTGGGGTCTGGCTTCCGTCTTGATCAGCCCTTTCCAGATTCCCTCTCCAGTTAAGGTGGACTTAACAGAGAACCCCATGCAACAGGGAAAGGGCTTGGCCAAACCTTGGGGCCACCAGCCTCTCTGTCATCTAGTTGGTCCTCTGGCTCTCAGAGTAAGCTTCTGAGGCACCAGCCACAATTCATACCAGCCAGCTTCCCTTCCTCCCAATTGGGCTACCAACCTAAGTCCCTTCACCTCTCTGAGCCTCAGTTTTCCCATCTAAAAATGGTGATAATAACTGCGTCTACCTCAGAGAACTGTTTTGTGGATCAAAGGAGAAAAAAAAAACCTGTAAAGTATGTGACAGTCCCTGGCACATAGTGGTATTTCCCCCTGCCTCTATTCATCAGCCCTCTCAATTGGGTGAACTCCTATCCATCCTTCAAAACCCGGCTCAAATGTTCCTATATTTGTACAGCCCTCTCAGATGCCAAGACAACATTGTCTGGTTCTTCCTCTGTTGTCCTACCACAAATTGTGCTTGCTTCCATCACCGCCAGGGGTGATATTCAAAATATTCAACAACTGGTTGAGTGTGGGTAGCTGGCATTGGCACTGAAGGGCTGTCAGGTATCTTTAGTTGCTGGGCTGTGAGAAGGTCTAGAAGGTACCAGGGGAGGGAAGGGATGGTTGAGTTGACGGGAGATGGGCCAGTGACAGAGTCTGTTTACTCACCAGTGTGCAAGTATTTGAATATTTTAGCAACTGAGGAGGTCCTGGTGCTCACCGACTCCATCTCAGCCCTAATGACAACACTTATCTCACTGTATCGCAGCGTGCTGTTGATACTAGACTGTGAGCTCCGGAGTTCAGGAAGAGTGTTTATTCATCTCTGTGTCTCCCGAATGTCTTGAACAGAGATGGTTGAGTGGAGATAAGGAACATGAGTGAGGCTGGGAAGGGTCCCTAATTCGTCTCCTTGGGACCCTCCATTTGGATTTGGGCTCTGACAGACCAAGAGGGCTTCAGGTTATCTTTAGCTCACCAGCTACAATTTCCATAAGACACAACCCACATCTGCATATTCATATATGCAAATACACCCATTGATGTAATATGCCCATCCTTGATTTTTTAAAGAGCTGTGCATATGAAATGCCTGCAATGGAGTGTGGCAGGAACCATGGCATAGAAGACCCTGCACGCTCCAGCTCCTGTTCATCTCCAGAGCCCCATGTCTTGCCCTGGAATTCTGTCTCCATCCCCATCTCCAGTGTTCATTTCCTGCTTCCTTTGGCTAATAGTTTCTCAGGTAGTTGTCACCTTCTCTGCCCTAACCTGAGCCTAACCCTAACTCCCTTCCCTGCCTGCTTAACCTTCCACCCCATCTCAGCATCTCCACATTAATTGTTGTGTATTGTCTTTTATGGTTTTGACCTTGCCTGTCTCATAAGAAGGCAAAGACTGTTTCTTATTCACTGGATCCTGAGAGCCATGTCAAGGCTGACCCTTTGTAGATGCTCAGTACATAACTGGTAGTTTGAACCAGTGATTGAACGGGGGATTCAATGACGGTGACTTTGCTGTTCTCTTTAACAAAGAGCTCGGAAAACTCCTGGGGCCAGGACTCTTGGAAGCCTTTGGTCCAGCCTGGCACCGTCTTCCATCTCTGCCTTTGCAGGAGAGAAGATGAGTAAGGGGCTAGCATGGAGGGAACTCAGAGGACCAGATTTGGGGGGCATCTGAGGCCCCCAGGAGTCGGGCAACCGTGAACAGGTGGAGCTAGCCATTTGGGCTGCAGCTGCCATCTATGGTGGAAGGAGAGAGGAAGCAGGGGCCCTTGCTCAAGTCCCAAGTCATTCACTGACTAGCCTGGGCCTGGAACCAGACTACTGTTATAACTACCACCACTGCCATTCCAGCGCTGCTGCTATTGTTGCTGCTGCTATGACCACCTCCACTGTTAATACTCCTGCTGCTACTACCATTAGCAGCAGACATTACAGAGCATTTACCACCTGCCTGCTGTAATCTAAAATGTTTACTCACATTAAGTCGTTGAATCCTCACAACATACCCCTTAGGAGGCAGGTCCTATTATTATCCTGGTTTTTCAGATTGGGAGGAAACTGAAGCACAGAGAGTTCGTGTAACTTGCTCAAGGTTCTGCAGTTGCTAAGTGCAGAGCCAGCATCTGGAATGTTGTGGTCATAATACCTGCTAATACTTGCTGAGTTTTGCCCCTCTGCCAAGCCCTGGGCTCAACAGTTCACAACATTATTTTGCTTTGGTCCTAACAAGGCTTTTGAAGAAGAGACTTATTATCTGGCTTTTTTTTTAACGGATGATGAAACTGTGGCTCAAAAAGGTTTAAGTAACTAAACGTAGCTCAGAGCCAGGATTTGACTGCATAATCATAACCCCATGTTTTTAACAACTCTGACTTGCCATAAATCATGGAAGTCATTACTATTCTGTGAGTCTCAGTTTCTCTTCTTGGAATCAGGGCATTGATTTGGTGAGCTCTTAAGGCCTCTCCCTTCCAGGTAAGGATGAGCTTTCAGCCCTTCTCATAGGGGCTGGGCCCACGAGGGACATGAAGTCTTCAAGAGCCAACAGCCAATCTGGAACCTCATCAGCTGGTGTGGGAGGACCACTTTTTTTTTTTTTTTTTTGGAACATCCATCTTTTTGCAACATATTGACAGACCTGACCTGTTAGGAAACCACCCCAGGCAGGTGAGAAGACATAAGCCTTTTTAGAGAGGCAGTTGGCACTTTTTAGAGAGGGTCAGTTGGGGCCACAAAATGGGCTGCCACAAACACCATGACCAGGAAGATTGGGTGGCTTTTACTAACTTGAAAACTTTCCTCCACCTCGTATTGCTCGTATTTTAAATTTATTTCTACCTTTGCAACAATTCCCCTGGAAGGCTAGTGGGATAATCATGCCCATTTTCCAGGTAAGGAAGCTGAGGCTGGGAGGGTAAAAGGAATTGTCCAGCTAAGCTAAGACTTGAGCCCAGGCCTCCTGACTCTCCGCCATGCTGGGAAGACCTTTTATAGGACATTCAGGGAGGGGAGAAGGCAGGTGGGCATTTGCCATCTGCAGAATACTCAGCAACCACACACATCTCCACAAAGGAGGGGCCTGGGAAAGCTGTGGATGGTTCCAACTAGGCAGAGGATTTGGGCAAAATTAGACCTTGGTGATACAGGATGCCTTGATGGGTGAAGAAGAGTTTCCCAGAATGCACTGCAGGTTATAAGTATTGTGTCAACCAGGCCCAACTAGAGTTTATCATCGCCTTCTCTTCCTTGACCTCCTGGCAAGCACCCCGAGCATTTCCTTATTTCTACCTCATCCTTTCTAAGAGAACGGCTCTCTGAAATTTTCAGATTCATGCGTGGCCAGAGGAGACAGGTCCCTTCCCAGCTGTCAGCTGCGACTTTAGGTTACGTCAACGCTGAATCTCCTGTTTGTCTGTCTGTCCCTTTAGAGTCTCACAAGGCCTTCACATACTTTATCTTATTTCATATCCCCAACAATCCCATGTGGAAGTGGTATTATTTCAAGTTTACCAATGAGAAAACTGTTTCAAAGAAGTCAAGTGACTTTCCCAAAGCCACACAGCTAGGAAGTGGCAAAACTGGTACTCGAGTTCAGATCCAGCTCTTAATCCCTTGCCCAGAAAACTTCCTAGTGTCAAACTGTCTGAAGTCACCTTCCAGCTCCTCCTTGTCGACCTGAGGGAGCGCTGCGTGATTCCATTCAATGCTGGGCTGCTAAATCAGATTCGCTCTTGCTTTGCTCTGTGGCTTTACCCCAGACCTTAACCTCTCTGAGCCTTGGTTTTTCTGTCCCATCTATGGAAGGGACTAGTGAGGGCCACTGTGCCCTCGACTCCCTGAGACCTTGTGTGGACACATGAGAGGACAAAGGTCGTATCAATTCAAGGCCGTGTTTATATAGGTGAAACCGAATCCCAGCTGCTAATCCATGCTGCAGGCTAGCTGGCATCAAAGATGCAGACCTCACTGGAAAGCTGGAGTGCCTCTGTGACATCAAATACTCCCTTATTCCTCGAAGAAACCTACGGTGTCTCACATGCATTCCTGCAGATGTCACTCTGGAGACCAATATATATTTTCCAATGTTCCCCTGATAAAAAGACTGGGTATTTTAGTTTGTCTCCCTCCCCTTAGCAGATCCCCTCCCCCCAAAACCAAGTGCTGCCCAAGGCTGGCGAGTGACCATTTGGTGAATCAATAATGAGGTCTCAAACCAGTGGGGTATTTGCCCGAAACTGGATTAAAATGTGTTGTAGACTGCCCTGAGCTTGTGCCTCCACCTCCCCCAGGTGTCGTGGCCCAGACTGGCAGAGGAGGCTGTGCGCAATACTTACTACACCCCTGGCCGACAGGAGGCTGAGCGTCTGGAGGGGCTGGCTGGGCGGGTGGCTGGACCGGGCCTCGGGGCTGGCCTTGCAGAGGGTCTTGGAGCAGCGGCGGGAGTGTCTTCGGCGGGACTTCCGCCCTTCCTCAGGGGACTGGCCACGGTGCCTGGGGGCAGGGAGAGAGGTCTGAGGGTCTTTTGATGGGGAGCATGGCAGAGAGGTGGTTAGGGACCAACAGGATCTGAGGATGATAGGCTGTGTTTGCATGGACTATGTGGGCATCCATCCATCCGTCCATCCACTCACCCACCCACCCGCCCATTCATTCATTCATTCTCTCATTTGTTTGTTCAACAGATGTTTCTTCATGTACCTGCAGTATTTGGGGGGCTGGGGATGCAGCCATGAAGATGCAAAATGTCCCTATCCTGATTCAGTTTAATGTCCTTCGTGTGCCTGTGTGAGTGTCTGTCTGTCCGTCCGTGTCTGTATGCGACTGTGTGTGCATCTGGGTGTGTCCATCTGTGTTTTCATGTGTTTGCCTATAAACGTAACTGCGTATATCTGTGCGTCTTTGTGTATGTGACTTCGCCATCTGTGAAACAGAGGCATCCTATTGACTGTCGCCCAAAAGTTTTGAGAAAAACAAAAAGCTGACAAAAATGACAAAGATGCCTTCTGCAAGCTTGTCAGATTTAGATCTGGCTGTCCTGTCTGCAGTGGAAACCAAAGGAATCTCTGACTCCGTAGAACGGGAATATTTGGACTCTGCAGAGCCCATGAGCTCTGAGCCACAGTAGTCATACAAGTAGCACTTTACTAAGTTGCATGGCACCCCTCTTAACGTGTTTTCACAGTCCTCTCTCCAGTTTGAAGACACAAACAGGGCAGGTATTACTTTCCCATTTTACAGCTAAGGGAGCTGAGGCTCAGAGATGTTTAGGGAACTGCCTGAGGTCACACAGCTTATAAGTGGCAGAATCAGGGCCAGGGCTGAGTTGTCTGTCCCCTGTCAGAACCGATGACTTTGCTTCTTGTTCTGGAGTGTCCCTTTCTGCTCTGGGGCCTCCAGATCATTTTTCTACTGGGTGTGTGCCCCGAGGGCCAGCTCTCAGGTTGTTTCCTTGCCTACTGGAGTGTCCCTTAGTCCAACAGGCACCGGGGAGCTCAGGTGGCAACACCACTAGAAGAGGTGACAGCAGGAGGGCTGGGGCTGGGGTCTGCGTTGTGACCACTTCCCTAAGAGGTAAGTGGCAGGGAGGGGGAGTGCAGCACCTGAGTGTCTGAGGCAGGCCCAGCACCACCTCTGGCCCAGACCCGCAGACCTCAGCTGCTGAGAGCTGATTCAGCCTGAGTCACATAGACCTGGGTCCCTGTCCCAGCTCTGCCAGGCATGTGACCTTGCTCAGACCCCTTTGTCCACTAAGACGCAGTTTTACCAGTGACACATCAGGGATGCAGTGGAGCCCAGTGTGTCAGTGCCCTCCAGACGAAGGCCCCAGGAGCACGCCTGCAGCTGAACACGTGTTTACCGCCCCCGGCAGTGGGGGAGCCGTGCACCCTGGGCGGGGCAGGGGGGCGGCTCTGGACCAAGGTGTTGGCGAGAACCTGTTATGGGCGTATGGTAGGTGGCTTTGGGGAGTGTTTCAGGAATGGGGGCTTTGTTCTGGCTTAGATGCCATCAGAAAGCAGAGCCAATCCTCTGATTGGGTGTCTTCATAAACCTCGTCTAGAAAGAGGGCAGGGTAGATGGAGGCCAAGGCTCTGATTGGCGAAGAAGCAGCAGTCTCTCCCATCAGCCAGGACCGAGAGATGCTGGGCACCCTCGTGTTTTGGACAGAGCTCCTGTCTCCTCTGGGCTCCGACCTGATGACAGAGGCGTCTTGTTTTTGTCATGATCACTCAGGGTCCCAGAGCAGCCTTGTCTGATGTCGACGTTCTTTGAAATTGGTGACATTCAGAGGGAACACCAAGGCCCACCAGCGATAGTACAAGATGCCAGGATCTGCATTTCTTTCTTAAATGCTTCTCACACTCGGCTCCATGTGCGCATCTCCTGGGGAGATTTAAAAATCTCGCTGCCCTGGCCCCACCTCATCTGAATTAAATCAGAGAGTCTAGAGGGTGGGATCCAGGCATCGGTGTTTGTAAAAACTTCCAAGGGGATTACAAAGGGCAGCCCAAGTGGAGAAGCCCTGGTCTAGCTCGCGCTGTTATCGGGATGATTAAGAGAGAAAATGTATTTTTAATTATAGCACAGTGCCTGACACAGAGTAGGATTTAGATAAATATTTCTCCTCCCCTCCTCCTCCTTCCTCTAGACATTCTGATTTAACTGGCATGAGGTGGGGCCAGGACAGGGAGATTTTTAAATCTCCCCAGGTGATGTGAATATGTAGCCAAGTGTGGGAGGCACTTAAGGAAGAAGAAAGCAGCCTCTGCCCTCCGGAAGCTGCCTGGTACTATCAGGTAGGCCTGGGTATTCCCGCTGGATGTGAGCAATTTCAATCATTAACATCAAACAAATCCCTGTTCCTTCTTATTGATCTCCTCGTCCAAAAGAGAACTCTCCTCCCCCTTCTCAGGCCAGGACAGCCAATGTGTCAGCATAGGGGCTGGCCCGATGGCATAGTGGTTAAGCTCTCACGCTCTGCTTCGGGCCTGGGGTTTGCAGGTTCGGATCCCAGGCGTGGACCTACGCACCACTCATCAAGCCATGCTGTCCCACATATACAGTAGAGGAAGATGGGCATGGATGTTAGCCCAGGGCCAATCTTCCTCAGCAGAAAGAGGAGGATCGGCAATGGATGTTAGCTCAGGGCTAATCTTCCTTACCAAAAAAAAAAAAAAAAAAGAGAGAGAGAGAGAGAGAGAGGGTCCAGGTTAGGAGAAATCTGACTTGGAAGGGCCTCCGAAGTAAGTTCTTTGTGCTGTGTGGCCTTTCATAGGTTGCTTAGCTTCGCTGTGCTTAGAGCAGCCTTTCGTGAGAGTGCAAAGTCCACAGCCAGACTCCCCAGTTCAATCTGAGCTCTGTCACTTAGTAGCTAAGTGACTAGCAAGTTCCTTAACCTCTCTGTGCCTCAGTTTCCTCATCTTTAAAATGGGGTAATAATAGTACCTGCTTCCGTAGGAAGCATATGTGTTAGCGAATACTGTTGTTGTTCCTATAAGTGGAGGCAGCAGGTCTCTGCAGCCCTTTCTCTACAGGGGTGTGACAAAAGAGCTGCCTAGTGCCCGGCAAGGGGCCGTCCCTCTGCTGGGAGAGGCCCCCCCACCAACAGTCACAGCCGGAGGCAAAGCTGATGATAATGGCATCTTAGACCAGCTCTGGGCAGCGGCTGGGGGAGGGGTTACCTGCTGTCACAGCTGGAGGAGCGGGACGCTGAGCTCTGGGACCGCGAGGGGCAGCGGTGGTGGCGATGGCGGTGAGACTTTCGGGGCCGGCTTCGAGATCTGGGGGGGTGAGGAGGAGCGAGTCAGAAGAGGAGGGAGAGAGATTTTGATCTTGTGACACACGTTTTCCTCTTGCACCCGAGTCACTGTCCCTCCCAAAGTTATGCATCTCCCCCCGCCCCACCCCTGCATCACCCAGCTTCCTGCCTGGGAATCCGGGGTCTCTAACTGTACTGAACACAAGTGAGCGGAGAGGGGTGCTCTGGAGGAGACAGCCTGGATGACTCAGGGCCCTCAGCCTGCAGGCCTGATGGGACCATACCCTGGACGGGAACATCACCTCCACATGTCACCTCCCCCTCACCTAAGGCAGGAGTCTCAATTTCAGCCAGCTTCACGAGCCAGTCAGGACCACAACGTGTGATTCAGCCAGGCACTAAAAATATGTCACCCGAAAGGCATGGGCTAAAGAATGAAGTGGCTTTGCCCCCAGAATAGTGGCATGGTAGAAATACAGATGTTTATGTAAAATATTCCTATTTTAAATGTAAGCTGATTTAAAAAAGAGACACTGTTTGGGGAAAACAAAACATATCTGCAGAGTAAATTAGGCCTTTGGGCTGTCAATTTGTAACCTCAGACCTGGAAAATTAAGTCTAAATTCTGAACATCGAGTCAAAAGCCCATTTGCAGAGTAAGTTACAAACATCATCGACAACAAAAATTACAATAACAATAATTACTACCACTACCACTAAAATTGGCATTATTACAGCTCACTTCAGCTCCCTCTAAATAATAATAATAACTCAGTAGTAGCAGCGGCAGTGGTCATTGAGGATTGTCAAGGAATGTCAATGGTTTGGGCCCAGCCAGGAAGCCAGTGGGAGTTAGAGACGACTCTATCAGGAGGTAGCCTGGTTATCCAACAAAAGACTCAGGGATTCTTGTAATGTAACAATCAGACCATATCCTTTCTCTGCTTAAAACCTTCCCATTGCCCGCATGTCAAGTCCCAACTCTGACCTTGACCCCCAAGCACCTTCAGGAGCCAGCCCCTGCCTAGCTCTCCAGCCTCCTTGCATGACATCTCCTGCTCTGGCCTCGAGGCTCAAGCAACTCCAAACTGCCTGTATCCTGGCTGACACATTTCCCGCTTCATGATGTCCTCATGACGATGGTGATGACGACGATGACAATGGTGATGATGGGTAACCCGTATCTAACACATCCTGTGTGCCAGGCACTGTTTCTTAAGCATTTTCCTTAAATAGACTCATCTACTCCTCACAACAACCTATGAAGTTGGTTCTTTTATTGTTCCGATTTCACAGATGAAGAAACTGAGGCACAGAGTTTAAAGCACTTGCCTAACCTGCAGCCTAGAATGGTTACCTCCATTCTCACGCTCAACCCAGACACCCACTGAGCCCTCTTTCCACACCAGGGCTCCCACCGCACCCTAGGCTTCCATCTGCCACCACTATGTCCCCTGTCTGTCTCCTGTGCCCCACTGCCCCACTCCTTGAGCAGGGAGAGTGTCTGGCTAACCTCTGTCCTCAGGCCCGGCACAGGGCTGCCGCATATGAAGGCCTCACTAAGGGATGTTGAGTAAAGGAAGCTGCATCACCCCCGTGGTCACTTGGTTAGAAGCAGCCTTGAGGAGGAACTTGGCAAGAATAACCATCCTTTACCTCAGGATGCCTTTTTTCCCCTTGCTTGTCCCTCTCCTGACTTGTCTTTGGCTTACACAACCTTTCTTGTGTCCTGCTAGCCATTTCTGGGGCTCATCCTCCTTGCTGCCCTCAGGCAGGCAGTCCTGTCTCAGCCACGATCCCTCCCCATGCTCTTTGGGTCTGGGCCCGGCCTCTGGCTCTGTGGCTGTCTGTACTGCAGCCCCACTGGACAAGTGATGCTAAGGTCTCTGAGAATATGCGCTCTGTGCTTAGTGTGAAGGCACACGCAATACATATCACCAATAATTGCCTCTTGACTTGAACAAGCTTAGTGACTGGGAAGTTCTCCCCTGAGCTAATTCAAAGCTCTACTGCTTCCTTCTGGAACGTTCCCCAGGCTCCCGTAGTGGTGGCTGAAATACCCTCCTTCACACTGACCTTGAGTGAACGGACCCTTGGGGCAGCAAAGCTGGCGCCCTCCCTCTGAGCCCCTGCCTCCTCTTTTCCCTCCTTGGCAGCCGACTGCCTTTCATCTTATCGCCTTTGATCCTCCCTTTAGAAGCTTCTTGGCGGGAGATAAAATATTAGTTGATTGGAAAATACACGCACTAGCATTTGCAGGGTATAAAGTAGGTGGGTTGTAACCAAATTTACTTTTGATTTGGCTGGGAACTGAACTTCGCAGGCACCGCTGGCTGATTTGAATTTCTACTACCAGTTATCAACCGTGAACCAGCTGGGGCCCCGAGACTGGGGTTGGAGCTTCAGTGCCGTCTCCATGCTGTAAGCCCCAGCAGCCGGGGCTCGGACGCATATGCACGCTCAGGCATGTGCATGCACGTGGTCATGCCCCCTTGACCACTCGTGCACACACAGCACACACGTGTGCACAGGTTAAAACCACCCACACCCTCCATATGTGTAATGCACGTATATTAATAAGCAGTGCATACAGAGTGCATCGAATTTGCACACAGTAGCAGACTGCACCAACACACACACCGTTCATGTTCACGCTCACATAAGCACGGGCATACATAATGCATTCGTGTGAATGCAAATATATACCACACACACTATTTATCCACATTGCGTACACACAGTGCCCACAAATGTTTGCATGATGGAAAAATGTAGACACTTAAAAACAATGCATACTACACATATACACACACATACAAATATATACTCTGCATGCACAGGCACACAGAATTCACATATAGTGGGCATGTCGGGCACACAGGTGCACACCATTCACTTTCATGCACACACAAACACACATGCATATGCATATCATATACACAACCTTGTGCACTCGCGCATACCCAAACCCACAAAGGAACCGAGTCCACAGTCAGTTCCGTCTTGCCCTTCCTTTTTGCCTCTCACCCACCCGCCCTCCTCTGCCTCTCCCTGTTTATTGGCCGCTCGAACCCTGGCTGTTAAGAGGCCAGGTCCTCCACCCCCCCTAGCTGGAGAGAATGTTCCAGGCGGAATCTACTTACTGTTTTTTGTGCCTCTTCTCTTCCCTTCTTTTGCTTTTTGGGCTAGAGGAGCTAAATAAGAAATAACCAATTAATTGAAAGATGCAAAATTCCGGTTAAGGTTAAAAATAAACAAGTAGTTAAGATGCTTAACACACAGTTGCCACTAGATCCAGGCAATTTTGGAACAGACGCTGATCATTTCTAAATGATCAGCTAACAGAGCAGTCGCTGCCAACTTTTTCACCCAGCAGGTTCAGCCAGAGACAGCGACCCACACATATAGACTGAGGATGGGGTGCAGAGGATGCTAAAGTCAGCTTTGATAGGTTAATAATAACAGCAGTTATAAAGGTAACGATAATAATAGCCGCCGTTTCTCGAGGCTCAATTATAGGGTGGGCACTCTGCTAAATACTTTTTGTAAAAATTTCATTTTATTCTTCCCACAGTCTAGGGGTAGAGGCACAATTTAATAAGCACTCATTTTACAGATATGGAAACTGAGCCTCAGATGAGCTAAAAAACTTGCCCGGGATCACACAGATGAGGTGGGACGTGGCTACAGACCATGGGTCCCCAGATCCCATGCTCTTCTTGATTGATGTTCCATCAGTCTCTGAGAGTAGAGAATGGACTATCCAGCGAGGTATTCTGAAGCCTCACGAAGCTTGGCAGATTCTAAAATGTTCTGCTCATGAATATTCAAGTACCCGGGCTGTTTTTTTTTAAGTCAGAGGGCTGGGGTGTGGGTAGAGTGGACAATGATGCCTCAGGGTCGTATGGAAGGAAATAGAGGCCCCAGAGCCGAATGCTATTTGGTAGTTCACGCCTGACTGGCTTCAGAGGGTCACCAAGAACCCCTTACTGGCCGAGGTCGTGGGAAGGGGAAAACTGATTTCATCCAGTTTCACCCAGCTGCAGGATCTATCTCTGCATTTGAGACTCAGCCTGGGGAGTGAAAGAGCCCGGGACCCCACTGAAAGATCCAAGCTCATGTCCAGCTCTGCTGCTTAGTTGCTGTGTGACATCAACCTGTCCTCTCCAAGACCCGGCTTCCTTGACCATGAAATGGGGCCATTGCTCAGGCTGTTGGGCTGAGAAGATGGATGATGTGGGTAATCAATGTCTACTTGTTAATTGATTGAATGCAAAGGCTTTGTACTCTGCCAACTGCTCTGTTGTTATTGTTATTTAAGAAGCCACTGCAGGGGGTCCTGATCCTCTGTCTGGAAGATCTGGGTTTGAGTTTTGGCTCTGCTATCCTCCAACTGTGTGTCTGTGGACATGCCTGTCTCATCTCCTGTCTGAGTCTCAGTTTCTTCATCTGTAAAATGGGAATAATAAACATATCCACTGCACAGCGTTGTGATGGGGATTACTGGGGGTTAAATACACACACACACACACACACACACACACACACACACGGAAAGAGCTTAATGCAAGATCCAATTTACAGGGAGTACCCCGTAGGTGACAGCTTTATCTGTGGTCACCCAGTGTATAGTACGACTTGGCCTCTGTCCCTCAGCTAGGATCTGGGGAGGCTTTGTGGGGGTGGCTGGGGCTGATGCTTCTCTACATGCCCCCACCCAAGATTTCAACCAGTGGTTAAACAGACTCTGGCAAGGGGAGGGAGACTTTCCAGGGAGGGGCATCAGTAGGGGCTGGTCCAGGAGCAATCATCTGGCCTGATGGAAGTTGAAAGCTAGCTTGGAACTTTCAGGGAAACCAGCCCCAGGCCTTCATTTTGGAGGGAACTGAGGCCCAGGAAGATGAAGGGGGCGTGGCCAAGAACACAGAGGCGGAGACTGAGAGCTGACCCCAGAAGCTGCCTAAAAGCAGGGAGCTAAAGCAAGCAGCCAGGGCCAACAAGATTCTTACCTGTGCCTTCTCCTCTTGGAGAATGACCTGGTTCAAGGAAATAAAAGGAAGGGAGAGAGGGAGGAAGGAAAGAAAAGAGAGAGGGAAGGAGGGAAGGAGGAAGGAAGAAAGACACCGAGGGAGGGAGGGAGGGAAGGAAATAAATACAGGTGAGTTTGAGGTGTCCTTTCCTGAGATGAATGTATCAGTGCATTTGTGAGCAGGCTACATGGGGGACACACAGGCGATCCTCCTCCTCTCTTAGATTTCAAAGAATACAAAGATCATATGGGAACCATTGCTTTGTATTTTGAACTTCCAGGTCAAAGGTTACCAATGCTTCAACCCTCACTCACAGTTGGCAGTAAGCCTGTCCCGGATGAGATTGGATGAGGGGGACATAAGAGAGAGTCTGCTACCTCCTTACCTCCCCTAAGTCTCCTCTCATCTTTCCTCTCCCTAGTTGTGGATTCATCATCACCATCATCATCTTCATCATCACGGGACAACCAGCTTCCATATGTGGAACTCCTACTGTATGCCAGGCTCTGTGCTAAGCATCTCACACACAATCTCATTCAATCTTCCCCCAAACCCTGTGAAGTAGTACTAGCAACCATGTTACAAAGATGCTGAAGCTCAGAGAACTTAGTTAAGTTGCCCAGGGTCACACAGCTTCACCAACTCCTACTCATTCTTTGGAGCTCCAAAGATGTCATCTTCTCCTTGTAGCATTTTCCGATCCCCTCAGGCTGGTTGGGTGCCTTCCCTCTGCTCCCACAAGCCCTGGGTGAGCTTCTGAGCTTAGCCTTCTTATAGGACAGACCTCTGCATAATATGATTATCCATTTTCCCCACTAGAATGTGAGCGACTCAAGGGCATGGGTTTTGTTCCCAGGGCCCAGAATCCTCATGGCCCATAGTGGGTATTCAATAAACAGATATGAAAAATGGGAATTTTTTCTTTTTTAACTCTAAAGTCTTGTTATTTGAGAGGAGAAAAAAAATAATCTCAACGCATCCCTTATCCCTAGCTCCTACGTCTTAAAAAGTCAACCATCATTAACCAAACATTGCAAGAAGTTGGACCAGAAGTAGGGTGGTGTTCAGTGGTGAGGGTTTGGGAAGGGTCAGCAATATTATTTTCCCTTACTAATCAACCTCTTTATGATCCTCCTTCCCTCTAAACCTCCAACCCCTGGGCCGACTGTAGCCAGCAGAAAAAGCCTGTTTCCAAACTTCTGGCACAGTCTTTTTCTCATGAGAAGAAACCTTTGAGTGAGAAGCCACTTGGCTCCCAAGATCCAGATATAGAAAAATGCTTCCCCCTCCCCCATCTGACCCCTATCTGACCCCTAAACTAGGACAAATTGTTCAGCATAGGAAGGGGGCAAGATGGCGGTCTACAGTCTTGGGCAGGCCATTGCCTCTACCAAGGACTCCATGTTGGGAAAGGTTTCTAACACCTAATTAACAACATTTCCCTAATTGGTTTGCCCATGTCTTGTATTAAGCACAAACTCAGCATCAACCAGAATGTCCGGGCCGGTGGTGGACATAATCGGTGAGACCAAACTGAGCTGAAACCTTTCTGGCAACAACGACTGAGACGTGACCACAGCCCTAGATAGGGAAAGGCCGCGTTGAGGCAACTTTGAATCAGGGGTGAGATGCAGGGGAAAACCCCAATGACCTCTTATCTTCTGTGCTGTTGTGGTTGTTTAATTGCACAAGTAATCCACCAGTGATGGAGGAAAATCGGAAGATACAGATACACAAAAATAAAATATAAGCCACTCTGTCCCTGTCATCCACAGCCAACCACAGCAAATAACTTCTACAGGAGCTTCAAACTCCCTGTCCTCAGGGGCCAAGCAGCCTTCATAAACGTGTATAAATGGGGGCAGCAGGATAAGTGAGGCCTGCAGCAAACCAAAGCACCCCCACTCTGTCCAAATGCACAGCAGCTCCTCAGCTCCAGCTGAGGGTCGCCCGTGGGGAACCGGTCCAATGAAGACGGACCTTCTGATTTTACAGAGGAACTGGAATGTTTGATTTTGTATTGCAAAACCTTCCAATTATAAAATGATGGCTCGGCCCACGAACCACAGATTGTGAGCCCTCTGGTGCGTATCCTTCCAGTCTTTTTTTTTCCCGACAAACATACGTGTGTGCGAGTGTGTGAGTGTATGAGTGTGTGCATGTGTATAGAGTGGGCATCTCTTGGAACATGTTAACAGTTCACAGTGCCCCTTGATGGCTGTCCACGAGGGTAGACAATCCCAGCAGCCATGTTTTCCGGGATCCCACCCCCCCGGGACACAGTTGGACCAACCAGAAAGGCCTTTCCTTGGGAATCTGGAATAAGCAACAAGGCGGAAAGACTCAGTGATGTTTTGTGGCTGAGCCTGCAACCTGGAGAGAGGGGGACAGGGTACAGCCCTGTCTCCCCACACGGGCTTGGGAGCTGTGCATCCCTCGTGGGTGCGCTCAGCTCTCCACTCCCTGGTTCTAGCCTCCCCGTCAGGCCTGCCTGGTCCCTGACCACTCCGGTCTCCTTATAATCACATCCCCCTTCTGGCCTGAGTCAACTTTAGTGGGCCTCTGGTCTTTGCAACTGGGGTCCCAAGTTATAAAGATACAAATAAATAACAATTCATAGATGTGTATTTTACATAAATGAAATGATAACCTTCCAATGACTTTTTGGCACCATCTACTCTCACCTGAATCCCCAACCCACCTGGGACATCCTGTTCTCAGAGGAGGAAGGACCATACCTGTGTCGCTTATGTTTCTTGGAACTTTTCTTCTTCTTTTTCTTCACGGGCGACGGGCTGTATGACGGGGACCTGCCAGAGGAGGGAGGCACCTTCAGAGGGAGGCTTTTAAAGACCGGGATTGGTTTCAAAGACCCTTCTCCAGCCCTCGTACGGGGTCCCAGCTCTCAGTAACACACATCAAGGATAATGTCAATACTAATATTAGCCTGCATTTGTTTTCAACGTTATCATGTGTTTTATATACGTTATCTCACTTAATCCTTCCACACACTTCTTGGGTAAGTACAATAGCTATCTTCCTTTTTCAGATGAAGAAAGTGAGGTTCAGACAGGTCAAGTGACTTGCCCGAAGACACACAGCTAGGAGGTGGAGAAAGTGATTCAAACTGAAGCCTCTCTGACCCCAGGGACCTTGCTGCCAATCACTCTAGCCCCCCATAGCTGCCCTCCTGGTCAGGCCACAAATATTTCCTTTTGTCTGCTGTTCTCCTCGACTCTGGGCCCCTCCTCTCATACACTTTAGGTCTCTCCTCTGCCCCACCCTGTTGTCTCCCTGGTAAGATGGAGCCCCTGGAGGAGATCTCACCAGCCTGTGGTCAGCATGGCTGGTGCCATCAGGGGCTACCTGAGAAACAGAGCTACCCTAGGACCATGACTGTGACGCGAGACTGAGGTTCAGGTGACCTGAGTTGCAATCTTGACTCTACCACCAACTCAGGAAGTCACCTTGGGCATGTCACTGCTCATCTCTAGGTCTCTTATTCCCCCACTGACAAAACACCAAGGTTGAAGCAGATTAGGAGTTGCAAACTCAGTGCCAACAGGGGCCTCTTAGCATAAATGGGTGAAGCAGGCTGGCCGTGAGACAACAGGGAGTGGTGGGGACTGTGGTGAACCAGAGAGCATCTGACGGAAGGGTACGGCTGCTTCACAGATCAGCCGAGGGTCCTGTGTGGGAATGCAAGCCCGGGCTTCCAGGACACCTGCCTTTTCAATAGAAATTGCCAGAAAAAAACATATTTTCATATGAAATCTCCTGTTTTTTAAATGTTGGCCACCAGTTAAAAACACAAAAAACACTTTATGGGTCAAACAAAACATGTCTGCAGGGGAAAATGCAGGGTTGAGAACAACCTGACTCTTAGGGAATCACAGCTCTGTCCCCAAACTAGTGCTCAGTGGACGTTTATTGAATGACAAGTGAGTTAGGGAAGTCTGGCGGCTGCCATTTCCTTCTTGGAAGTGTTCTTCTGCCCACCCCTAAAGTCAGGAAGCTCAAGCCACTTGCCGAAGTCCCACCCCTCACCCTACAACTCAGGGTCTTCATTCACATCTCCCTCTAGGTGCTTTCTGGGCAGGTCCCCTTAATGGGGTGAGGAGAAAACCAGGAAGTTGGGGCCTGAGTCGTCCAGACACTGCTCTCTGCTGCCCCCTGCAGGCTTCTTCAAATACTGCCTCCGAGGTTTGGTGTGATTTTTGACTGGCCCCTGGAAGGTCTCTGCCTTCCCCTCTGGGTCTGGACCACTGGACGTGCTTTTAGTCTAGTGAGTGGCAGCCTAGAAGAAAATCTGGAAATCTTTTTAAATACAAAAAAGTTTAAAGGAATTGTACATAGAAAAGAATTCATAGGGTACAAAAGAGTCAATAGCAGGCAAAAAATATAAAGTCCGTTATCCTTGGCATTCAACTTGCTAGGTGGGAGTGGTTGAGGATCCCGGGATCAAGTCCCTGTAGCGTCTGTCACCCCCTCTCTGTGCCTTTCTCTTCTCATCTCTAAAATGGGGATAATAGTTATAAGTTCTGGGAATGTAATGCACAGCATGGTGACTATAGTTAACAATATCATAGTGTAGATTTGAAAGTTGCTAAGAGATTAAATCTTCAAAGTTCTTATCACAAGAAATAAAAATTCTAACTATGTGAGGTGATGGATGTTAACTAAACTTATTGTGGTAATCATTTCACAATATACATATATCAAATCATTATGTTGTATGCCTTAAACTAATACAATTTATATGTCAATTATATCTCAATAAAATTGGAAAAATTTTTTAAAAAATAAAATAAAAATAAAATGGAGATAATAATGCTGATCTGATAGATTGTGTTCAAGGGTAAAAAATGTTCATGGTGCTCACGGTATTTAGCACAGACCTCCACACAGAGTAAGTTTTCAAAAAAAAAAAATCAATATTCATGGTCATGACTATGCTTTCGATTAATTGGTCATTTATTATGTGTCAGACACTGTGACAGCTGCTAGCACATCCATTTTCTCATCTAATTCTCACAAAACCCCGAGAGGTAGGTATTAGCACCATTTTATAGAAGTGGAAACAGACACAGAGAGGTGAAGTGACTTGCCTAAGGTCACACAGCTAGTTAAGAGGCAGAGAGGGGATTTAAACACAACGGGAGTCGCTGTTTGACTCTGAAACCCATATTACTCCTCTTTTGTCCCTTTCCCCATCTTCAAGGTTCCATCTCCCCTAGGCGCCTTCACCTCCTTCTCTTCTTCCTGGTGGATTTCTTCTTCTTCTTCTTTCCCCTGGAGGAAGGCGGTGGCGTCAAGTCTTTGTCTCGGGAGGCACTGTGGGGAGCACAGAGTCATTGTTAGAGGACCCAGGGTCCCCCAAGCCCCCCACCAGGACTGTTGCAGCTGTGGAATAAGGACCCAGTTCCTTGGAGGATGAAGGACCTGTAGCGAATACCTAATTATCACCTCATGGCTGACTTGGTCACACTTCAGATTAAGTGCCTTAAATAAGGAGTGAATGCCAACCTAATGAGACAGACGCTGTACGTTACCCAAACACCAATTGATTATTTAAAACAGACTTGTAGAGGTTAACTGCTCCTTAATAGATTTATCATTGAACTTGCAAATGGCTCACCTTGGTAAATAAATCACTTTTTAAATAATTAATCGGCAGTTCAGCACTCCCCCTCCCCAACACACCATGTCAGTAGTTCCTGCTGGAAATGTAATAGGAGGCAGAAGATATGTTAAAGTAGGAGCTGATTATTAAAAGTATATTTGCCGAGGTCTAATGTAACGAGATACATATCTTCTATTGCCTCACAGAACCCCCAAAACCTTGGCTCTTCAGGAATAATTATTTCCTGTTCAATTAAATTCAAATGCTCAGGCCGAAGTTAAATGAAGTCAAGTTATCTCCTTTTATAATTGGGGCAGCCTCCAGAGATGTTTTTAAATATTATCCCATGGCAAAAGGAGATGGTTTGAGATGAAAAAACTGGTTGGGAATTGAAATATGCCAACCCAGTTCCTCCTCACTGGGAAAACATAACATTAATAATAACATTATTGTCATTATTAGTAACAACACCACTGTCATCTATTCACTTATTATGTGCCAATGTTTTATATACTTTGATGCTCGCAAAAACACTTTGAGGGTGGTACGATTTTTATCGTCTCATTTTATAGGTGAAGAAAATCAGGCTCAGAAAGTTGACTTGGCTTACCCACGTTGGCACAGTTAGGAAGCATCCAAGCTGGGATTTGAATCAAGGCTTGTGTGCTTCCTACCCTGAGAGCTTTCACACAAAACCAGCTGCCTTCTCAAACTGGTTTGTGTGGCTGATCTTTTGGAAATCACTCAGCTCTTTACAGAACATCATAAAATGCTGCCATATTTAATCCCATCCTAAGAATCTGGATCATTATGATTAGTAGAAAAAATGATCAAGTCATTAGAATATATGTTAAGGTCTCTGCATCTCCCATAAATAAAATCATATAGCTATGTCTATAACATTTTCAAGAGTCACTTTTAGCAGGTTAAAAATAAATATCATAGGGATTAAGTACCCAGCTACTTATGACACTTACAAAGCACAAAGCACGGTACACGCATATCCGGGAAGCAAGCAGCCTGCTTGTGTAAACATCGTGGGCACTTCCCAGTTTCCCCTTCAACAGGCGCTTGACACAGAGTAAGAGCCTAATAAATATTTGCCGAGTGACCAAATGAGGGATGAATGGATGAAACAATTTAGTCACTTGTTAAATCATCTTGTTTCCTATAAACATCCCAGTGTAACAGCTGCCAGGAATTTGAGGGGAAAAAAAAAAGAAACAAAAACACTTAAGGGAGACGTACTTAAGGAAAAAAAATATTTTAAAAGTATGTCTTATAAAACAAAGAAAGCTCTCATCGTTTTAAGTGGTAGGGTAAAACTGAGAAAGCCCTTGAATTTGGATAGATTTGAGGACTGTGAGGGGAGATAATCAACCCCCTCCATGAATCCTAAATGTTTTACCCAGGTGGGTCTGCATTTCCTCTGCCCCTTTCTTTCCCCTGCACCAGTTCTCCTAGGTGTCCCCTCACAGCGGGGCCAGAAGGGCCAGAATGGTGGCTAAGTACACGGCAGTTACATAAGCAGCAGTCAACTATGCGGCAAGTAAGTATATGGTGCTTCAATACGCAGCGGTCAAACACGCCGAGGGTAAGTATGCAGCGATAAAGAATGCTGGCTCTAGAAACAGACACACCTGGATTTAAATTCCTGTTCACCTAGCTCAGCGACCTCTCTGAGTATCATTTTCATCATCTGTAAGATGGGAATAAAATATGATACCTGTGTCCTAAGTTTGCCGCAAAGAATAAAGGAGCTCACACATGTAACGTGTCCTGGTCTGGCACAGAGTAAGTTCACAGTAAATAAACTTCTGTTATTAAAATTATTATGACTTTTTTAGTATCATCATCATCACCATCACTATTGTGGTTGTTCTCATGTCAGAGAGTGGATCACAGATGGAAGGGAGCAAGAGGCCCAGACACTCCACAATCAAGTTGACAATATGGCATCATTTTTCAGATTTTCATGTCCAGAACCTTCTCTTTGGGTTCCATGAGACTCAAACTAACATTTTAAGCACCTCTTGTATTCTAGGCCCACAGTCAGGATCCGTACACGCCTGATCTGATTTAATCCTCACCTGACCTTGGGAATTAGATCCCAATATTCCCATTTTACAGTTGCGAAAACTGAGGCCCGGGGAGGAAAACGAGCTTGCCCATAGTTGCTCAGTCAGTAGGTGGTAGTGCCCAGATTTGAACACAAGTATCTAGAGCACACTAACTCCCCTTTGGCCTTCTGGGAGACAATGTTTTGAAAGTAAGGAAATTCCCTTCCTTCTCCCCTTCTCTCTCTGTCTCCCTCAGCCTCTTATAGAAACACTTTCTTTCCTGTTTCTCGGAGATAATTCTCCAGATCTGACGTTGAACTTCACTTCTCCAAGCTGACAGGACCTAACTGTTTCTCCCTCACTGAAGTCAAAGCCTAACGAGAGCCTGTAGCAGCGATGGCAGCCTGGGCGGAAGGGCAGACTTCATCCATGAAAGCTACTCTGGCTTCCCAAACTGCTCAGAGCTTCCATCTAATTCTCAGATGGGCGCCCAACAGGGCTTAGAACATCTACCTTAGTGAGCCAAGAACGCCAGGGTATAAGAAGAGAATCTGGACCAGATAGGGGTCCTCAGGCTTATTTTGGCCTTGCTACCTACTGACCTCAGTTTCTGCATCCGTAAAATGGCTTTGACACTGCAATTCAACATAAGGAGGCAGGGGTTGTATCTGGGGAGTTTTGCTGACAAAAACACTCGATTCACTTTCCATCTGTCATTGGGGGGTAGATACAGGCCCAGGGCAATGAGAGAGCGTGCATTAGTTTGAATAGAAATAGAATAGAAATAAGGCTTTCAACCAGCTGGTGAAGTCGGGTTATAAAGACAGTGCTGCAAACAGAATCAATTCTCCAGAAGCCAAAGACGGGCCAGGCTTTGTATGTACACAGCACAAAATTTAAAAATAGAAGGCAAGGGCTGGATTGGCTTTTTCATTAGCATCAACGGTATAATGCAGTGGGTTTAAGTCTAGGATTTAAGATCAGAGAGACCGGAGTTCAAAACCACTCTGCTGCTTACCGGCTGCCATATTTTGGGCAAGTCACCTTAGCTCTCTGAGCCTTAGTGAAATGTGTCCTCAGACGCCAGCACAATGCCTGTCATGTGGTAGGTGCTCAAGAAATACTGTTTGAATAACTGAATTAAGGAAGGCAGGCAAAGATCTGAAACTCAGGAGGCAGATCTGGGCTGAAATCATGATTTGGGAGTCAGTGGTTCATTGAGTCACTAAAACAGAGAAAAACTAACTCTACCTTTAAGACAGGAGCAACAAACTGGCCTACAGGCCAAATCTAGATTGTCTCCTGTTTTTATAAATAAAGTTTTATTGGCACACAGCTGTGCCTATTTGTTGACATATTGCCTATGGCTGTTTTTGCCCTACAATGGCAGAGCCGGTAGTCGCAGTGGAGACCATCTGGCGCACAACCGGTCCTCTACAGAAGGACCAGTATCTGCTATCTGGTCCTCTGCAGAAAAATTTGCTGATCTGATTTGATTTAAGGATCTGAAAGAGGAGAGAGAGAGGAGGAGTGTCCAGAGAATGGAACTTCATTTCTGCACCCTCAACTTGGCCTTCCCCGTTGGACTGAAGAGAGGAGTGGGGGCACCGTCTCACCTGCGTGCTCTGGCGGGGCTGAGCTCCCGGCAGGCCTTGTCTCTCTCCCAGCTGTTGGTGCCCAAGGCCTCAGTGGCCAGATGCTGACTTAGCTTGTCTGAGGGTCCATCCTGAGCCGGCACCATGGGGCTGCTCTGGGGTTCTGTCCTACAGTGGAAGAAATAGGGAGGCAAAAGTGTTAGGATCTGAGAGACTGTTAATGTTCATCAAATAGTCATAGATGTCCTAATATTTCCCAATGTTCCTTGCAGTTAGGTTGGAACCATGGACTTATCTTTGGCCACTGGTCTCTGAGTGGGAGTGACATATGTCATTTCCAGTTCAAGGCAATAAGATCTGTGTGCCTTCTCCAGCTCCCTCTGCCTGTGTCACAGTGACAGAGGCCACATATTCTGAAAGGCGAAGCTCACTGAGGGAGGAGAGATGCCCGAACCACATCAGACTTTGCATGATAGAAGTAAACCTTCATTAGGTTAAGCCGCTGAGATCTAGGGGTTTATTTGTTACTACAGCGTAGCCTAGCCTATGCCAACTAAATCACAGGGAGAGGCTGGGAACCAGCATTTCACTTCCTTACTCAAGACATAATTGGAGGCCAAGGCATGATAGGATTAGTTTCAACTCCCCTTTGCCATTTCTATCCCATTTCTTTGCCTTACTTGTGAATGGAACAGAGATACCCGAATTCAAACACTATCTTCACCATTTAGTAGCTCCAGGACCTGGGGCTAGTCACTCAACCTCTCTGAGTTGCAGTTTCTTCAATAATAAAATAGGGAGTAATAGCAGTCCATATATTGTTGAGTTGTTGTGAAGATAAAACAAGATAATATAAGCAAACAGAAAGGCCTAAAAAGTGTCAGTTCCCTTTCCCTTTACTTCCCTGGGAATCAAACCTCCAGTTTGGCGTCCTTAGCAGGTATGAGGCCACCTACTTGGGATGGCAGTTCCCATGAAGGCCTGAAGTTCCCTCCGCTGCCTCTGAGATGAGTTCCAGACAACTCCAGGAAATTACCTGAGTCCCACCTCTTTCTGTGAGTCCCCGAGAGGGAAAAGAAGTTGCCTAGTTACTCAATCTTTGAAGAGACCGTCACTCAAATCTCCTGCCTCCTAACCTGGAGGAGTCAGGAGTTTGAGAGACACAGGTGGATCTGGCACCAACCAGCAAGCGCCCTTCTCTGCTTCCCCCCTCGGCCTGCAGATCCCAGGTCAAGCACTGATCGAAGGCATTAGCATTTCTCATGCGCTGAGCTCCTGCAGCCAGTGCATCAAGATTGGTTTTATGACTCCAGATGAATGCATCTGATAAGCCCCCTGCTCCTTAGGGCTGTCAGGAGAGCAAGCCAACCTCAGTCGATATTGAAGGAAGGGCAGCAAAACACATCCATCTCTGTCAGCCGCTTATCGGTACATCTTTAGAAGCAGAGCTGGGAGATAAACCCAGGAGGGATGGCGATTCCAGTCAGGGCTGCCCAGCCGTCCTCCCCGCCAGCTCCACGCCTCCAGAACTCCCGTCCATCCTGCTCGGCTTCAGTTATCCCGACATCTCCCTGCCCCACTTCTCCTACTGTGAGGGTCCCATTTCCGTGTCTTTACTCCTCCAGTCTATCCAGTTGTCTCTTTTCAGACAACTCAAAGCTAACAATTTCTGCCCAGCTCCCAGCAAGGCTTGCCTCTTCCCATACTTGTCCTGGCCTAGGCTAACCTGCATTCGTTCTCTCCAATTCCCTGAGTGCCTGCAGTGCGTCCAGGTCAGTTCTAAGTGTGGGGTTGCAGTGAACAAGACAGAGATGTCCCCTGGGATCATAGAGTTAACATTCTAGATGGGGGAGCAGATAATAAACATATAAGCAAGTAATAATATGGAATAATGGATGGTAATAAATTATGGAGAGAATAGATGAGCGTAATGGGGCTAGGAAATGGGAGGAGGTGACCGTTATTTTGTATAGAGTAACCAGTGAAGGCCTTTCAGAGGAAGTAATAGGGAAGTAGAGACTTGAAGAATTAGGGACTAGCCTTGCAGTTTGTGGTGGCTTTAAAGTATGTTTATAGACCCTTCGACACTCCCGCCACCAAAAGAAGGAGACTAATTTCCCTCCCCTTGAGTATTGGATGGGCTTAGTGACTCACTTTTAATAAACAGGGTGTAGTAGAAGTGGTCACATGTGACTTCCGAGACTCAGTCACAAAGGCGGCTTCTGTCTCTCTCTCTGGGACTGATCACTCTGAGGGAAGCTGGCCACCATATTGTGAAGACACTCAAGCAGCCCTACGGAGAAGCCCACGTGAAGAAGAACTGAGGCCTCCTGCTGACAGCCAGCACCACCCAGCCATGTGAGATCATGGCCTCGAAGTGGATCCTCCAGCCCAGTCAAGCCTTCAGATGAGACTGCAGCCCTGGCTGACACCTACCCCCAGTCTCAAACCCAGCCAAATTCCTGACTCACAGAAATGGAGGCATAATAACTATTTATTGTTGTCTTAAGCTACAAAGATTTGGGGTAGCTTGTTGCCTAGTAATATATAACTTTTAAACAGGTATCTGTGGGAAATGGGAGATATGTTCCAGGCAGACAGAAGAGTAAGTCCAAAGACCCTTGGCATATACAAGGAGCAGCCAGCAAGGACTAGAGGTCTTTGGAGGTCTTGGGAAGACCTTTGGGTCCCCTGTGGCTGAGATGGGAAGCCTTTTGCACAGAGGAGGGATATGGTCTGGCTTACATTTTAGAAGCGTCACTGAACTGGCTGAGGACAGTAGACAGAAGGGAGGGAGGGACAGAGATGGGGAGACTATCGCAATAGTCCAGGCTCAGATCAGGGTGGTAGCTATGGAGGTGATGACCTGTGGCCAGATGCTGACATATTTTGAAAGGAGAACTAGCATCAGTTGCTGCTGGTTAAATGTGGGGTGCTAGAGAATAAGAGAAGGGGATGGGTCAAGGACGACTCCCAGGTTTTGAACCTGAGCAATTGGCAGGATGGAGTCACCACTGATGAGGTGGAAATGGTGGGGGAGGGAGCAGGCTTTTGGGGAGATCTAACCCCTTTTCTAGGTTATGTTAGTCCCTTTGCTATCCTTACTGTAGCTCTCACTAATATGTGTTGTTGCCATTGCATTGCCTGTGCTCTCACTAGACTATGGGTTCCAGTCTAGGGCCATGTCTTACTTCTCCAGAGCCTGCTGCTTGGTAAACACTCAGCAACATTCATTCAATGGATAAATGAAAGAGCACATGCATTGACTGAAGAGAACATTCATTTATTTCAAAAAGTTAGAAAGGGCTTTTGAGATGCTTTGAACTAATCCCTTCAGGTTACAGTTGGTGGAAATAACCCAATGCCTCAGTCTACTCAGATGGCTCAGTCAATGCCTTTTCTACTCTAGTCCATATTTCTCTTAGAAAAGTGATCAGTTAGCTTATCAACGTATGCGTACTGCCCAGCAGAGCGTTGAGTTGGACGCACACAAGAATGGTATTTCGGGCTCTCTGAGCATTACAGGAAACCAAGACAAATCTGTACCTGAGGCAACTCTGTGATAGGCAAAAATGGAGAGCCGATGTGAGGAATTTGGCAGTGAATAAATACACGACAAATAGTGCTGGCGTTGGGTGGAAGGTCTCAGTGACTTGTGCCAATGGAGGGAGGAGAGGTGTAGGTTATCTGCGCTGTAGGGAGTGCTGTGGATGCTGCTGCCAGGCACTGGGGGACAAGGCTCAGGTGAGGACAATGCCTCATCCATCACCGCCAGCAGCAGGGTTCAGAATCAGGGACGGGGAATCCTGACAATGGTTTGGTGAGGAGAGGTGTAATGGAGTTGCTGCAGTTTCTAACTTGACACTCCCTGATGTGGTAGGTTGTTCTTTCCTCCAGTAGCACTGGCTTCACCTTCCTGGTGCTGGGCACCCCACAAACAAAAATGTAATTAATTCTACCAGGCAGACGGGGAGTGGTGAGAGAAGGAAGAAAAACATCCTCCGTAATATGACATTTAAGATCTTTTTTTCAACATGTTCCAACACTTTGCTTCTCGGCTTTCTTAAAACTGAAAGAGACTCAGAAAGCATGTCATCCGGGGTGTCTCAAACCTGGCACAGCATCAGAGGACTCTAGGAATGGAGATTAAAATGCAGATTCTTAGGTCCCATCCTAGATGTAATAAGTCAGAGCCCCAAACGGGTGGAATGCGGGAATCTGCATCTTAAAGAAACATTCCAGGGGCCGGCCAGGTGGTGTAGTGGTTAAGTGCGCATGCTCCACTCCGGCGGCCCAAGGGTTCGCAGGTTCGGATCCCAGGCGCGCACCGAGGCACTGCTTGTCAAGCCATGCTGTGGCGGCGTCCCATATAAAGTAGAGGAAGATGGGCAGAGATGTTAGCTAGGGCCAATCTTCCTCGGCAAAAAGAGGAGGATTGGCATCGGATGTTAGCCCAGGGCTGATCTTCCTCACAAAAAAAAAGACATTCCAGGTAATTCCAACTCCTATTGGATCAAGAACTAAATCCAAGCTGATTACCAGAACTAAAAGTCTCTGCATGATCTGGCCTCTGCCTGCTCTAGACCCCATCTCCTACCTCTCTCTGTCCCTTACTCTGCTCAAGCCACAGGGCCTCCTCACTGTTCCTTAAGGAACAGTGCCTTTGCTCCTTCTGTTCCCTTCACCTGGCATGCTGTTCCTCCAGCCCCTTCCTTTCATTCAACTGTCGCCTTCTCAGAGAGGCCCTCCCTGACCCCTCATGTAATCTTCCTCCTCTCTTGACCTGCTGCCATCAGTCACCCACTGCGCCTGCCTTCAGAGCACTTGTCACTACGTGAAACAAACGTTTTATATGCTTATTTGCTAACTAACTGTTTGTCTTCAGGACTAGAAGGTAAGCTTCAAGAGAGTGGGAACTCGTCTCTTTTCTCACCACCTAATCCCCAGGGATATAGTGCCTGGCAAACGTGCCTTTTTGCTCGATAAACTTTGCCAAATGAATGAATGAATAAACGGAGGGATGTACAAACGAATTCGGATGCCCGATCTGATGTGGGAACCACAGATCAGATTCAACCTCTCCTTACATATAAAGAAGCAGAGGTCCAGGGGGAAGGGCCAGTCTGAGGTCACACAGCGCTTCCGTGGACTCAGACCTCAGCCACACT